TGAAAGGGTGGGAAATGGTTTCCCATTCTGTAAAAGAGCTGATGGGGTGTAAATGTTCTCCCCAGTGTCTGGGCCTGTACTCTCCAAAGTTGTGAACAAACTGCTTCCTGTTCCAGCTCCTGGACAGACAGGGATGCACCTGGTGATGTTTCTAGTCCCCTCTTCCTGTGGTGAGAACATGTGTGACTTTACTGAGTTTTGCTGTTTACTGAGAGGCAGCAGAACCAGTGGTCATGTGGTCATGTGCCTGTTAGTGAATCTCTCATTTTTCTACTGTCATTAAGTCTCTCCCTCTTTTTCTATATTTAGACATAGATCATCTGTGTCAGCTTCGTCATATAGAACCTATAAACTTCCCATTTATAAAGCGTGCATCTGAGAAGTATTAACACACACGGACAGAGCAGGAAACCCACGTGTCATCCTGCAGTTTCCTGGGGCTCCTCTGCCATCCCTCCCTCCTGCTGCTTCCCTCCTGCATCCCATCACCAGGGAGCTCATGACTTTCTTGTTGCTTTGCATTAATTTTCCTATTTCAGTATTTATACAAAGAACAAATACCCTATAACTTTGGTCATGTTTAACATAGAATATTTCTTTGAAATATCTACATACAATTATTTGAGTCCGCATTCTTGGATATTTAGGCTGATTAATTTCTCACGATATGAAAAAATAGATCTGAGGATACATCTCAGTGGTAGGCCCCTTACCTGTTGATTAGAAGGCCTTTTTATCCCCAGCATGGTAAAAACAAAGAGAATGTTAACAATTAAACAGAAACAAGGTATAATACACTTCAGTTTAATTCTTCAATTGATCTGTTAATGTTTATTTAAATGTTCTAAGCTTCTGGTTATTACAAAGCAAGCTGCTTCTCATCTTACAAATGCAGATACCCAAAAAGTTGGTATTTTTAAACAACAAAGAGTATAATCATAACCATAAAATTGGATTAGCCTTAAATTAATAATTTTTCTTTAGTACATCAAAAGAATGAAGTTCCAAGGCAACAAATATATGGACTCTATGGAGTGTATGGAATCTATGGAATCTGAGATTACATAACAAAAATATGGGCAAGAGTTATCCACCTTGGCCCAAGGTCACCCTATGCTATGTGATTAGCAGATTAGGTTGGAAGCAATTCATGGATTACCAAAGGCTGAGCATGGTGAAGCATCAGAAGGTGATTATAACGCATGCATAAACTTAGGGCGTGCATGTGTCTATTACTGCTGCTGTAAAAACACCCCACAAGGATCAACATACATCAAATAGAGTTTTTTCTTGCATTTCCGGACACTGACAGTTTCAAGAGGCAATGACAGTTTTGGTGCGTGTCAAGAGGTAGCGGTTTGGTTCCAAATCTTGTCTAGTTTCTGCATCCTCAGATGGGAGAAGAGATGCATAATCTTTCCCTGCATTCCAGAGAGTAAAAAATGAAGAGAGAGAGAGACAGAGAGAGAGAGAGAGAGAGAGAGAGAGATCAGTTCATGTCACAAGAGCCCTGATCTCAACTAGGAATTCAGATCCTCCTAGGACTATTTCCTAAGAAAGACACCATGGGTTAATGATATCCTGCAAGGGGCTGATGAGTTTCAGTATATAAACATCAAGGGGACAATGGTTTCAAGTCAAAGCTTTCCATCTTGTCCTCTGTCCTGTTTTTGTCTGTTATTAAAGTCATTTTACTCCTTCATACTGGCCCAAATTTTTAAATCTCTCTAGTACCAATTTGGAGGTAACTACCATCCAAAAAAATATGGATGAGATTTTGGGTATAACATTCTCCATTTTTTACTTATAAAATTAAATAAGGTAAGTGCTTCCCAAATAAGGTGGTGGACCTGGTACAGGGTTGCTATTTGCAGGAGACCAGCTTGAAATTGCATTAAGGAAGCTTTAGATATTATTAATTTTGCTTATGAATGCAGCTATTGATTAAGGTTATGAGTCACCCCAAGGCCTAAGTGTGAATTATTAATTGAACTTTCAGTTGGTGTTCCCTATGCCAGCAGTCACGACTGAAAAAGTGATCTCAAGGATCAATGAGATTGTGGTGTCTCTATAGATAGGTAACACTGTAGCTGAGGATTTATGACTCTATGCAACTATTCTCTAAGATCAAATGTTAGCTAGATAATGCAGTTGGCTTCTTAGCTATGTCCGGCAAGATAACACAGGTGGATTGCTAACTTTGACTTGGCCTTCACAAGTATATATAGTTACTCCCTTTTTCCAAGCCTTGTTCATTAAGTGCATTAGTTCTGCTATTCCTTACATCCATCTTCATGCCTTCTTACTATGCTGTATAATCATAAATGCTGACTAATCCAGAGCTCATGGGCTTAGCCATGACAGAGTTAAGATCAGGTGGTCTTTAGCCAGGAGAGAGCTACAGATCAACTGCCAGTCTCCAACAAGTAATAAACTATCTTTGATCTTTATTCTTTGCTGTTGGTATATTATTCTTTCATTCCCTGCTGTCTCCTCATCAGGCAACTGGGCATCCCCTGCTGACTGCTCGGGGTATTGACTAGACAACTGATCAGGCTATCAGCTGTGACAGACATCCCCAAACTAAAGAGCTGCTAGGAATAACAAGTACCACCGAGAACCACAATGCAACTGGATCAACCTTTGCCCTTAAGGATCCTCTTTGACTTCATGTCACTGTGACTTTATGTCCCCACTTGACAAGGTCCTGGAAGCCTAATCCATATGTTTTGTTGAGTGGAGCTGTTACAAGAGTCCATATGGGTGTGAGCTGAATCCTACAGTGTTCTCCACCAGCTTTTTATGGTGATGCCTCTTCAGGTCAGGTTTCTGTGGCAAATGGGGAAACACAGGTCTACAAAGCATTGTGCTTGGGTGTCTCTCTCTGGTGGGATTCACTCCACATGTGTGAATGCTTTGCTTTTGTGGAGAATCTCTGCAGTTTCTTCCCTTCTGCAGTGGTTCCCTGCCTATACCTGAAGATGTCCCAGACTTTCTTTGAACACCAGATGGAGCACCCATGCACCACAGTTCTTGGAATTTGTGCACTTGTAGAGTGAGGGTCCCATGGACTCCATGGACATTCACGGTCTGTGCACTCCACAGGGTTAGCCATGAAGGCCCCCGTTTTCTTGGACACACCAGAGCTACACATTTGGTGACTGAGGAAGATGGCTCCAAAATGTATGAGCCTGACACTTGAGGAAACCCGGAGAAGTGAGGCTTGAGGTCACATGTTCACCATCTATGGCCCTGTCATGCCCTTAAGTCTCTGTACTCTGGGGATGTGGAGGGAGTGTCAGACTCCAAATGCCTTTTGGATCATTCTTCCATTTTCCTGTCAGGCAGCATCTGCCTTCTCTCAGTCTATGCTACTCTCCTTATCACATGTTCCTTGTATATGACCTCATTGTTCACTTTAATAAATTTTGTGTCATTTATAACTTGGCCAGTCTGAGAAATTTCCAAATTATTAAGTTTTCCTTTTCTTGGAATGGATATCCCATCCTTTCCTATTGCTGTTTTTAATCACCGTATCATTAGAAATGAACTATGTTGTGCCCTTTGTACAGGCTATTTCTTGTCTATTGTATTAAGTTTATACTCCCATGCATGGTTTCAACATCAGTGTATTACTGAATCTTTACAATAGGTTTTCACTTTAAATTTGGTTTTTGAACAGTTTTCTCCAGAAATATGTAATATGTTATAGATTTTGCTTTACCTTTTTTAATGACACTTTGCATGAATTTCCCCCATATACAGCAAGATCAAATTTGAACTATAGAATTGAATGGAATTTTGCATATTGAATCATTTGTGCCTCTACCATAACAACACTTATCATGTGTGTTCATCACCATAAGAAAACCTATGCCTGTTTCCAATTATCGACTCTCTAATTCATTTCCCATTGTCCTGGGAAGCTATCGCTCCATTTTCTCTGAACAGTGATATGAAAAACATAGGTATTATATGTCACACAGGAGGAGTTTTTGTATCTATTAGTATATATTTCAATGCATATTAATGCAGCAACAAGGATATTAACTTCATTACTTTTACAGGTGAAGAATATCCCATGTGCAGATGTAATTCTTTTTGATTAACCTTTATGAACTCGCAGACTTTTGGGTAGTTTTTAAGTTTTGTTTACCATTAAGAATAGTTATAGAAATTGCACTTGGCATGATTTTATGCAAATGTACACTTTCCACACTCTTAGTTATTTATTCAATGATAAAATCATACAAGCAATTCATTTTGGTTATTTCAGAAGCAAAGAAACTATTTGTAACATACCTATGAAATCTCACAACCTCATTACCATTTCTGGGTACTCTAATTTTTCCACATCCTCATCAGTATGGGTATGCCTGTAATTTTCATCCTAAACATATAAAGTGGAATAAAATGCATAAAACAAATTATTTTGCCAAGAAATGAACTTAGACGCAAGCACTGTCTATTCTTTGAAGCTTAGGAAAATTTCCAAAAATGGCAAATCCATAAAGACAGAAATGGATTTGTACTCACTTTGACTGGGTCAGGGAATGGGAAATACAAGAATAGAAAGGAACAGCTAAAAATGTTTGGTGTCCCTCTGGCATTTACAAAAATGATTTCCAATGACGTTGTATTGATGGTTGCAGTTTTTAATGGAATATGCTCACAAATAATGAACTTTTCAACTTTTAGTTGGTGAAATTATTGATGCCTAAAATCTTCAATAAGTTTGTAATAATTATCAGATTTGGCCCGGGTATTTATCTCAGCGGTTCCAATGCCTGCCTCACAAGTGCAAGATGGCGAGTTTGATCCCCAGTACCAACAAAAATTATCAGAATTATAGTTATAAAATATTCTATAGACTAACTGGTATGAAGGAGATGTAAGGAAAGACATACAGGGCCCATTTTTACTCCACTTAAATAGAGGGAGATGAGTCACATGAGAATGAGGAGCAAGAAGAATTCAGAGTCTCAGGGTAACTGCTCCTGTGTTGGAACCCTGAAAGGGCTGGCTCTTGAACAACTCATCCATACTGAGTGTGCTCAGCACCCCGAAGAGACTGAACATCCCTGGGCTATAAGGAGCATGCTCTGCTGGTCCTGATCACCCCAGAAGTGATGTTTGTGCCTGGGTTCACAGGACTGCCCCTCAGTGTGGATTCCAACTACTATCCAGACTGTTCCCAGCTTCCAATGAGCTTTGCCAGGATCTGGGCCAGATGAACACAGCAGAATCTTTTTGTTTTACTTCAGTTTTTTTTTGGGGGGGGCGGGTTACAACACACCTATTTCATCTTGGTTAAAATAGTGCAATCACTAATAACCATAGGGTCTAGCACAGCCTAGAAAATGACAACCTGTGTTAACTATTAATTTGTCACCTTTAACCATATAAACAAGATTTTATAGTTATATAACAAAATGTAAAATAAACCAGAAATGTATATACATTAGATATCCCCTCAACTGGGAGATTTTACCCTCTTGTGAGAAAATTTTAAAAGGACAGGAGGCAAGGGATAGAGAAATAGAAGAAGGGAAAAAAGATTGAAGGACAAGAAGCAAAAACAAGAACTAAACAAAAAGAAAACACTATAGACTTTGTTTGCACTCATGAAGAAACAAGAATTCACAATAAACAAAAAACTAACAAAATACAGAGAGAGTGAGATTTCTCTGTAATTAACAGAATCTTTTTGGCCACATAACAATTTGAGTTCTGCACAGTTGAGAATGTGTTCTCCTATTAAAAATTAACTTGTCTAACTGAAGCTTCAGAGGTCAAGCAAAACATATGAAGTCAGAGTATCAGGGATAAGTATTATATGGACAAATCCCCGATCCTGACAGGAAACTACTTTTCACCTTCCTTTAAATGTACTCTTGAGCTGTGTACATGTCATGAAATTGTAGATAAAGTGTAGTGCATTGAAACAAACAAACAAATAGTAGATATTTTTACTATACAAGGTTCTGGTGCTTGAAGCAAAATATATATATTTGGAAATGTAACATTATATACTTTCTAGTTTTATAAGAAAAAGAAAAAGAAAAAACTTTTTTTTTTCCTGGTGATTGTCAAAAAACAAAAGACCAAAAGAGACTCTTTTATTTTTTAAGTTTTGGAATAAGTCTAAAGAAAAGAAAAAAAGACTTCTTTTCTTTCATAGTCGAGTGTCTGGTAAGATCAGTCCCTCACTCAGAATAAAAGTAAATGCATATCACTCAGTCACCCAGTAATATGTGAACAATGATAGGAAAGAAACAGATGAGTTGATATTTAAGTTTTATGATTTGGGCCGTATTACCTTGATGCAAATTTTGCCGAATCAGGTATTGTGAAAAATTTGATAACTTTTCTAATGTCTAGCTAGTTAATTATAAAACATCATTATTTTAAACATCATAATTGAGTACATTCATTAATTACAATATTCAGTGTTAGACCAAAGAATTTTGAGATGAAAATTATGTGAGATCTGAACATCAGAACAAAAATTACAGACCAAATTAGAGCTTTATTCTATTTAGAGAAGGAAATGCATTGGGTGTTTTTCTCAATTGGACATGATAGTATGCCTAGCAAACTTTTTCACAAAATAAATCTTTTTGATTTTCATTGTGGAAAACATTATTAATTATAACCAAAATTTAATGTGACTTCTTTATATTATACTAGATAACTGTGCAGTCCATCTCTCCTCTGATTTTAGGAAATTCCTTTCCCATACATATCTTTTTTGTTCCTATTCTAACTTTAAAATAGTGCGAAAAAGAAGCATCAAGGTATAAGTAACACTCAACCAAGTTTCAGTTTAAGCTTCCAATTTTCATGAAATTCAATTAGTTTTCTATATGAAACAATTTCTGGGCAAAGCCCACCTCTAAACACTTGAGAAAGTCATCATTAATGATTCAGTGCCTGACATGGCAAATCTCAAGTGCCAGTGGACTTCCAGCTTGTCAACTCCTTCCCTCTGCCACACCTCCCCAGCGTCACAGTCAGGGTCAGTCAAGGTCAGCAGGAAGCTCAGTGAGCCTCACCATTACCTCGCCATTATCTCATCTCACCTGGAACCGTTTTCAGTTGATTTACTTTGCAGGAGACAGTCATTGTTTTGTACTCACCTACCTTTGGTTTAATGTGCCCCAGCTTTGTCTTTCTGTTACCTATACAGTTGTTTGCATATATTTACAATATACACTGTGCCATTTTGATGTTTATGGTGTTTGTTTGGTTGAATAAATTTGTGACACTCAAACTCTTCAGGCGATAATTAGAAATGACACCAGTATTTAATCCAGTTTCATCTCAATCCTCTTATACTGGGACATTTTAGATGTTTATTAATTATATTTTATGGGAAAGAAAGTGAATGTATGAAATAATAAATGTGTGACATTTATAAGTAATGTCTGAAAACAAACTTTTGAAAACTTAGTTGACAAATTTTTGGATCAACTGAAAAAAACATGACTATTGAAATCTCTGAATGCCGTAGTTCTCAGTATCATGATTTTTGATGAATTTATTTGTTATTAAAATGTGTAGTTTTAAGACCTTTTCTTGACAGTATTAGGTAATTTTTAAAGTGTGAACAGATGGGAATGTCAGATGTATGTTATTATATAGCTGACATGTATTTTTTGTCTGTTCTTTATTACCTTTGTAGTTTCCTGCTATATGTACCATAACAACCCATTGCCTCTGAGAAACATGTAAGATCATGTATTTACAGCCATGGTTACAAGTTTGTAATGTGTTTTTCTATCTTGTTTTATATGTATGTACATAACTTTTGAAAAGAACTTTTTCTTGATTGAGAAAAGGAAACAATGTAATATGCACAATTTAGATAACAGAAATTTGCCAGTTGTTTCACAGTATTTTATTGTACTGAATTTCTTGTCTTTTGGGAGCTTTTAGTTAGACAATGAATCCATAATTTTGGGTTTTAGTTGGCATTTTACATAGCTTGGATTTTAATTCTTTGATTCTTTAGTTTCTGTTGACCCATAGCAAGTTTTGGTTTTGTCTTTTGTTTTTCTTTTTTGTTTGTTTGTTCTGTTTTGTTTTTTTTGGTACCAGGGAGTGAAGTCAGGACTTTGCACATGCCAGGCAGGCTCAGCACCGCCGAGCTACATTCACGGCCCAACCTATACCTTTATTTTAATAAATGTTATAATAGCAACCTAAACAAATAAAACAATTAAATAAATGTGCTCTTGGGGTGGACTCTGTGCTCTGTGTGTTCCGAGCCCCCCCTGCTGGTCAAAGCACCTCTGCACGGAGGTTAGTGTCTGGACTCACAATGATGCCCCCTCACTGTGTCTCTTGCACAGTAATACACAGCCGTGTCCCCAGTTCTCAGACTGTTCATTTGCAGATACAGCGTGTTCTTTGCGTTTTCTCTAGAGACGGTGAATCGGCCCTTCACGGAGTCCGCGTAGTATGTGCTACCACCACCATAATTGCTTGTGACCCACTCCAGCCCCTTCCGAGCTGCAGGTAAAGGGCTGGGCTGGTTTTTATCAGCAGAGGGTGGAACTATTTGCATGGCCTCCTGCTATATAGCCAGTTTAGTGTGGAAACCTCATACAGAGAAGGTCCAAATCATGTGAGAGTGTTCTGAGAAGTATTTCGGAATATTCCCAATACTATAGAATACATGGTTTCTTCCTATGTGTCTACTGGATAAACAACCTCATTTGTTATTCTTCTTGTTACATAAGAATGTAATTAATGTATTTGGTCATTTCATATGTTTAGGAGATGTGAACATAGAGCAAGAAGCTTAATAGACCTAGGAGATGTGAGCTGATATGTTACAAAAACACCTTGTCTATTTGGTCCTATAATCCTTTCTACAGTACTCAACTGCTTGCTGAGCAGTTACAAGATAGACTGGTCATGTTTCATTATGTTTACCAGACATTTTCTTGTAATGAGAGAACATGACCTGGTTTTCTGCATTCTAATATTTTCATAGACAAGCAGTACCTTTTTCAAGCATATTTGCAACAATCTCTCATCTCCTTTCTTATCTCTGCATTAATCTTTTCATTCTAAATTACCTATTGTATATGTTAACTTTAATGTTGTATAAATGAGGTACATTTTGACACAAACATACTTGTTAAATATTGACAAAATCAGGCCCAATGTCAAGATATGTAAGGAAGCAGTACTCAAATTCTCCTATAGTTTTCCATATAATCACCTTCCTATAACTTCTTCTATTTGAACTTTTCCTAAATTGAAACATATATTTGGGTATTCCAAATCACCTCAGTTCTTAAGATTCACAGGCTTATGTATATGTATATGAAGTGGTTATTACTATTGCACAGAAATTCATGGTAAAAATATCTATATATATATATGTGTGTGTCTGTGTGTTAAGGATATATATATATGTGTGTGTGTGTGTGTGTGTGTGTGTGTGTGTGTGTATTTATATGTATATTCTATCACCAAAAAAGTCCCTTTCATGCTTTGGCACCTGGAGACTTCATATGTGAAATGGAGTGGATGCACTGTAAGTTCTCCCCAGTTTATATGACGCTAAGACACAGGAAATTCAGAGACTGACAGGAAGCCCTCACTCAGGAGCCTCCTTCTCTACACCTCCTCCTGGGGCTGCTTCTTGTTCTCTGTAGATCTCCAGGGCCCTTGTGCTGGTCCGGAGCTTTCCCTCCTGATCCTGAGCACCACCTCCTGGCCTCAGACAGCCCCCTCTTTGTGAGGAGCAAGCCCTGCTGGTCCCTAGCGCTCCCTAGTGGTCACAAGGACCCTGTAGAGAGGTTGTACCTGGGCTCACACTGATATACCTACCCTCAGAATTTGTCTTGCACTGTACTGCACAGGCATATTTACCATGTATACTGAGGACAGTTGCAGGGAGAGCTGGTTCTTGGCTGTGTCTTTAGAGATGCTGACTCTTCTGGTCACGGTTGAATTTTAACCTGTGGCTGCACTGGTATCACCCTGCCACATCCACCTAGTTTCCTTCCTGGGGGCTGATAGATCCCAATCCATGGGCAATTTACCGGAGCTGGAGTAACCAGGGAATGTGTAGTTGAGGGACACAGCCTGAGAGAGCTTTGGGGGCCAGGTTTGGTCTCATGCAACAGCACCTGGGACAGGACCATGGGAACAGATCTGGGACACAGGGAATTCTGAGTGCAGAGGCAGAAACTCCATATTATCCTGTCTGGATTTTCAACACTCACATCTGGAAGCCACCACCAGAAAGAGAAGGAACCAGCATTTTTCCATGTTCTTGAATACTAGATTTACACATTGTTGAGATTATCTTGAATATTGAAATGCAATTGGAATTTAAGCCGATATGCAATATGAAATTATCTGGTACTTTGTGAAGCATTAGCACATGGGATGCACTCTTGTTTATGAAGGTCTGAGGGAGAAAGGATGTGCAAGATTTTGGGTCTGGCTCTAGGAGGAGGATGCTGACTGAGTCATCAAAAGAGCCCTGTGATGTCCCTGGGGTCCATTGTTCCAGGCCCAGGACCTCCCAGTCCAGGACGGGACAAGTAGTGGAAGAGCTGGTCAGGGAGTTGACTGTGTTTACAGATAAAGGATGACATGGGAATATGAATTCCTACACACACGTCCTAGGGAAGACAGAGCTGTGAGGCACATACAGTACCTGTGCATGGGTGCACGTGCATAACACGAAACACAACTTCACATTGTACATTCATATAGGCACATCAATTTCAGGACCCTGGCTCAAATCAATCTTCATTCCTCACTTGATCATTTTTAAATTGGCACATTCAAAGGTTTTGAGCCCAACAGCTAATTGCTGTCATGCCATGGAATTGGGCAAATATTTTCAATTTTATAGGCTTCTGGACACTCATCTGATTTGTATTTCTGTTTGTGCATGTGAAATGCATCGTAGATATGTATGTTCATGGGTTTCTGTGGAGACACATTTTTTTCACCTCAAACTTCCTTACACTTTTATTTCTGGTTTTCAGTAGATATGTACACTTGTGTAATGTAATTTCTAGTTTTGTTGAAATACAACTCAGCCCTTTATTGATGCACTTCATTTTTCTGTAGTAAGTTGAGTTGTTAGGACACTGTGGAGCTGTCGACTTCCCCATTGTTGGAGAACAATGATGGACATGAACCTCATAACTGAACACAGAGCTGGGTGGTGAAAGGCTCTATGCTCAGTGAGGTAGAAGGCGCTGGTCTTCAGGCAACTTTCATACAGCCAGAGGTGTCCAGCTCTCGTTTATTATTGGTGCATTGAACATTCAGTAAATATTTTTTGGTACAGTGCAGCAAGGCATCATAATCTTTTGGTTTGTGTTCCATAGCAAACCCTTTACAAATTAAGTAAGATCACCATGGACAGCTAGAATTATCAGTGCCATTAAGCAGATCTTCTTAAATACTTTCTCTATGAGCTGAATCCTTATCAGTTTGTCTCTGAGTCAGGCTAAGAATTCCTGAGTAAGTCAAGATGGAGAGCAGAGCCCAACTTCAGCCCTCCTTACTGGGACCCTGAGGATGGGGACTGCATATTCTGACCTCCACTGTGAATTGGCATAAATACTGGATGCAAGAGCAACTCTGGATGTGACCTTCACAGTAGAGAGGTACAGGTGTCCAATATCATCACCACTGTCAGTTCTATTTGTATACCTGGGAGACAGAAAAGGCCCACGTATGCCCTCACCTTTGATCCCACAAGCTGCATGCTCTGGTGTGCTAATGTGTCACATCTGTGATGGGAGTTCCCTGACCTTCAGCCCAGTGTCCTATATTCATTAACTAATTTGTATCCATATTCTCTGCAATTCTTTTTTATCCACATCATTTCATGAATAGAGAATTGAATGCAGCATATTGCAGTCTGTTCACCACTATGTTTTATTAGAGATCTTTATTTTTTTATTAGTACATATTCGCAGGACACAATGATTGCATTCATAATGGGTAGTTAGCAAATGTATATAACACACATTGTTTCCCCACCCCCTTCTTCCCCTACCTAAATCAAATAAAAATCAGGTGGCCTGAATGCAGGTAACAGTCACTTCCACAGTATTTAGGTGAAAGAGATGAACAAGTTCCATTTAGACCATGTGGGGAGGATCTGAACAAGTGGGCAGTGCTGTGCTGAGTCTAAGGAGGAGAGCAGCTGAACCTTGACATCCAGAACCAGGGGAGTCTGTTACTTTCTGGGTGGTCGCTGGTTCTGACTTTGATACCTGACACCTTTACCTCCCTGCTGTGAGTCACATTTAAAGTTACTACTTCATCCAGAATTACGATTGCTGCTCTGAATCCCATGACACTGAGGCATTCCTAGGAAGACTGATATGTGTTCTCCAGAGAGAAGAATAAAACATCGTAGCTATGCATTTGCTTATGTGGTGGGGAGGTGGTCCCAGGTGAAGATAAATCCTTGGAAAGTCAGGAAGGATTTGGTCACTAGGGTTAGGAAAGTGCATTGTTTTCCTTGTGGGTCTCATAATTGACAACTACAGCCTGTATTCTATGTCATGTTACAGTGCTGATGGGAAGAATCAAAAAATTAACAAATATTGACACATGAAGAAGTGCAAAATGTGAGTGAAATTCCTGGAGGATGTCAGTGATGAGCAGGGCGATAATCAGGGACTGTGCTGGTGCTGGGTTTCATGCTTAGGAAGAGGGGATGGTTCAGCTGATGAATTTTCCTCTCCATTAGGAGCTGAGAGTATAAACTAAGGGTTAAAGTGAATTTTGTGAAACAAATTGAAGAAGCAATGAGGCTCTTCATTATAATCATTTCAAGAAAGTGAAGGGACAATGACATGTAGAAGCAGCAGTGTTGCTGGTTAGTACTCAGGCCAGGTGTGGGAGGTGAGATGAATACATAGGAACTCCACTATCCTCGTGTTTCCATTCTTTAGGTTTCTCTGAAGCACAATTTAGAATAGGAATGCAAATAAACTTCTCACCTGGTGTTTATTAGTGATGATGCAGGCGAAGTTTAGGAAATAGTAAATACAGATCATAGAAAATTTGTAAATAAAATGTGTGTTAATTTCTAATCTAGCAGGATAATATTGCATGTATCATAAATGATATAGTTGCATCAATTTAGGTGTAGCTCTGAAGCAGTTTATAGATGTTGTGAAGGAATGGGACTAGTTTTCTTTAAGACAGACCTAGATGCTCTCTTTGGGCCTGAATCCATCAGAGAAAAGAAGATGAATTTCCAGAGGGAGAGAAAAAATGAGCCTGAGACCCTGGACACCCTGAGCAGTTTCTGACAGGTGGTGGAGGCAGAGGCTGCCCAGGGCTGTCCTGTCCTCTCTGTCTCCTCTTTAATCTGTGGCTTCACGAAGTTCTCCTCTCAGGTGGACCTGCTTCTGCAGTTCCTTTAGCTCTAATCCACTCTCACCACACTAGTGTGCAAGACAGTGTGAGATTCTGGGTTCTCTATAATTTTCTGTCTCTGAGTCCATCACTGGGAAAATCTAGGCATTTGGCTCCTTTTCCCTAGACATCTGCTGCTTTCTGGGAGACAGAGAACTTCCTATAATTTCTTTCTCCTGTGAACTATTTTGACTTTAAGTCAACCTTGAAGAATGGTTGGTTGTGCTGCAGTTAGGAGAATACTTTTCCTCTCAGCAGGGTAATTTTCTGGAAATGTCCTTCCCTGAGTGTCTTCTGTCTGAAGCAGGGTCTGTGTCCATTTCTCAGTGATTGACCTTCCCTTTCCCTTAGGCCACAGCCTTATGTGATCTTCTTGAATCCTCACCTTAAGATCCTGGGTTCTTATGAGCATAACATGTAAGCTGTGTGGCCCCCAGGAGCCTGGTGTGACCTCATCCTGGACCTCTCCTGTCCTCCAGTCATCCATCATCTCCCCATCAGTGCTCCCACCACTGTGTGCCTGGGGCTCCTTCTGCACCAGGAAGCAGGGCTCCCCTGTGACTTTGGATCTTCCTGTCTCTCCAGGTTTCTTTATGATTATTCAATCTGCAGTTTTATTTCTTTTATGATCTTCTGAACACATTGTGATGTAAATTTTTCCATATTTTTGTAGCTTTGAATATGTGAGTAATGAAATTCATTGGTTTTAAAGGTTGGAACAAATGCCAGAAGCACCTTCAATGGCCAAATTTGAGCTCTTACTTGATTTAGGGTACTAAGATCTGTATTTATAAATGACATTTGCACAATCATGATTGAACTCTGAATAGCAGAAAAGAAGGAAACAGAAGAAAATCCACAAAAACTTTCAGAATTTTCTGGGATCTGCATGTACCTGGAGTTCAGAAGGCCCAACAGGGACGATTTGGCTACATCTCAGGGGAGATCATATTCTGGAAGATGTGCATGTCCTGGGTTGCAAACAACAGGTGCACCTGGGACATCACACCAGGACCTTAAATTCTCAGTTCTTAAACATCAACAGCGAACACATCAGTGATGGTGCTGGTGCAGGTGAGGTGCAGAGCAAGGTGAGGAGGTGGAGGTGCATTTGGCTTCCCATGCTGAGTGTGACTGTGATGCCCTTGGTCACCCCTGTGGGAGGGTGGGCTGTGTGAGAGTGTCAGGTCGGCTCTGCCTTCAGGAACCATGCATGTGTGGGGGTTGAGTGTGGAAATGATTTTCTTCTACTCACTATAAAACTACATCACAGAGAATCACAGCCATAAGATTGACATTATTTTGTTAGAAAAAAACAATAAAAAGGAAAATGAAACATTTAACCAAAATCAAAAAATAGAAAAATAAAGGAAATACAAAAACAAAAGAAACAAAAATAAAAGAAAAAAAAAAAAAAGAAAAAACACAAAAAAAGAAGAATCAGAAGAGACGGAAAAATGAAAAATATGAACAAAATCAAACGGAAGGTCGGTTTTTTGCTGTTTTGGACCAGGGATCAAACTCAGGACCACGCGCGATCAAACCAGGCACTGAAACAACCGAGCCAAACACCAGAACCAAACAACAAAATCCCACACCAAAAACACAGCATTATACCACAGATACACAAAATGAAACCAAGGAAACACAGACAAAAAACAAATAAAAAAACAGGACAGAGAAAGAGAAAGAAAAAAGAAAGAGACAGAGAAAAGAGTCACACGGAAAATGTAAACAACTTACAAACACTAAACAATAAAAAAAAACGAAAAGAAAAACTCAGCACAAACTCCTCGCATGAGCCTGGGCACAACCCGGCCACAAGGCGCCCAGAACAGGACAAACACAGGACAGAGCAGACCCTGCAAAGACCCAGGAAAACGAGATATGAACCAAATAAGTACCAAATATGCACCAAGGAGACAAGCACGCAACAATGCCAAAAAACTGGCAAAAAAATGGCAGAAACATGATGAGATGATGATGAAAAGAAAACGAAAAGAAAAAAAAGTACAAAAAACTCAAAAATCACGTTGAGACAAGGTTGAGCCAAGGTTGACCCAGCAAGTAAAAATCAAACATAAGTCATAAAAAACAAAACAAAAACAAGAACACAAAAAATAAAAAGGAAAAGAAAATGAACACAGAAACTTGGATACTTCATTGCAGATCCTGCGTTGCAGCATTTGCTCTGGTCACGTGATGTTAATACAGGAGGGAAACCCCAGAGGCCAACAGGAAGCCCTCACTCCACTGCTTCCTTCTCTGCACCTGCTCCTGGGGCCCTGCCTGGTTTCTCCATGGACCACAGCGATGCCTGCTTGGGCGCAAGCACCACTTCAGGGAGGTTTGTGTCTGGCCGCACACTGAGGTCCCCTCACTGTGTATCTTGCACAGTAATACATGGCCATGTCCTCGGTTCTCAGTCTGTTCATTTGCAGATACAGCGTGTTTTGGCCGTTGTCTCTGGAGATGGTGAATCGATCCTTTACAGATTCTGCATAGCGTGTTGTACCACCAGTATTACTGATGTATGAGATCCATTCTAGCCCCTTCCCTGGAGCCTGGCGGACCCAGCTCATGTCATAGCTACTGAAGGTGAATTCTGAGGCCACACAGGAGAGCTTCAAGGATCCCTCAGGTGGCACCAAGTCTCCCCCAGACTCCACTAGTCGCACCTCACACTGGACACCTGCAAAGAATCATCTTCCTCAGGAAACCGTCACAAACACCCACTGTTTGTCCCACTGGTGTACTCTCAGAATCTCAGTATCTATTGTTCTAACTAATTTACCTTTCAAAATTGCAAACAGGAAAACCCAACACAATGCAAGCTCCATGTTGCACTGCCTGCGTTCAGTCCTGGTCCACAAGTGGGAGCACCTGGGCATCCAGCTCTGGGCTCTTCTGCAGAGCTGCAGTCGGGCTGGGCTGGTTTTCATGAGCAGAAGGAGGCCCTATTTGCATGGCCTCGTGCTATATAGTTAGCTCTGGGGATGGATAACTCAGAGAGGGCAGTGCCCACATCTCAGATGAGTCTGCTGGTATTCTTTGATAACAATGAATTCATTCGATATAATAGGAAAACTCATTATGAGATAATGTCTTGATATTTATCTGTCCATCTACTTTTATTTTTCATGTACACATAACATTCACCTTTCTATTATATTTGCTTGCTTTGGAAATACGTAAAATTATGAAAGGGTGGGAAATGGTTTCCCATTCTATAAAAGAGTTGATGGGGTGTAAATGTTCTCCCCAGTGTCTGGGCCTGTACTCTCCAAAGTTGTGAACAAACTGCTTCCTGTTCCAGCTCCTGGACAGACAGGGATGCACCTGGTGATGTTTCTAGTCCCCTCTTCCTGTGGTGAGAACATGTGTGACTTTGCTAAGTTTTGCTGTTTGCTGAGAGGCAACAGAACCAGTGGTCATGTGGTCATGTGCCTGTTAGTGAATCTCTCATTTTTCTACTGTCATTAAGTCTCTCCCTCTTTTTCTATATTTAGATATAGATCATCTGTGACAGCTTCATCATATATAACATATAAAATGCCCATCTATAAAATGTGCATCCGAGAAGTATTAACATACATGGACTCTTCCACAACCACACACATAGAGAGAGCAGGGAACCCACGTGATCTTGCAGTTTCCTGTGGCTCCTCTGCAATCCCTCCCTCCTGCATCCTGTCACTGGGGAGCTCATGACTTTCTTGTTGCTTTGCATTAATTTTCCAATTTCAACATTTATTCAAGGAGCTAATACCCTATAACTTTGGTCATGTTTAACATAGAATATTTATTTGAAATATCTACATACAATTATATGAGGCAGAATTCTTCCATATTTATGCTGATTAATTTCACAATATATGAAAAAATAGATCTGAGGATACAGCTCATTTGTACACTCCTTGCCTGTTAATTATAAGGCCTTTTCATCCCCAGTATGGCAAAAACAAAGAGAAAGTTAACAAACAGAAACAAGGTATAAAACACTTCAGTTTAATTATTCAATTGGTTTTTAATGTTTATTTAAATGTTGTAAGCTTCTGGTTATTACAAAGCAACCTGCTTCTTATCTTACAAAAATCGACACACAAAAAGTTGGTATTTTTATACAATGAACGGTGTAATCATAACCATAAAATTGGGTTATCTGTAAATTAATAAATTTTCTTTAGTACATCAAACAAATGAAGGTCCAAGGCAACAAATATATGGAATCTATGGAATGTATGGAATATATGGAATCTGAGATTACATAACCAAAATATGAGCAAGACTTATCCACCTGGGACCAAGGTCACCCTATGCTATGTGATTAGAAGATTAGGTTGGAAGCAATTCATGGATTATCAAAGGCTGAGTGTGGTGAAGCATCAGAAGGTGAATATAACATGTGCGCAAACTTAGGGGGTGCATATATCTATTATTGCAGCTGTAAAAACACCCCACAAGAAGGAACATACATCAAATAGAGGTTTTTCTTGCATTTCTGTATACTGAGAGTTTCGAGAAGAGGCAATGACAGCTTTGGTGCGTGTCAGGAGGTTGCTGTGTGGTCCCAAATCTTGTCCAGTTTCTGCATCCTCAGATGGGAGAAGAGATGCAGATTGTTTCCCTGCATTCTAAAAAGTAAAAAAAAAAATGAGAAGAGAGAGAGAGATCAGTTCATGTTGCAAGAGCCCTGATCTCAACTAGGAATTCAGATCCTCCTAGGACTATTTCCTAAGAAAGACACCATGGGTTAATGATATCCTGCAAGGGGCTGATGAGTTTCAATATATAAACATCACGGGGACAATGGTTTGAAATCATAGCTTCCCATCTTGTCTTCCATCCTTTTTTTGTCTGTTATTAAAGTCATTTTACTCCTTCATAATGGCCCAAAAGTTTTAAATTTCTCTAGTACCAATTTAAAAGTCTGAGATAACTAACATCCAAATAAAATATGGATGAGATTTTGGGCATAACCCTCTCCATTTTTACTTATAAAATTAAATAAGGTAAGTGTTTCACAAATAAGGTGGTGGACCTGGCACAGGGTTGCTATTTGTAGGAGACCAGCTTGAAATTGCATTGAGCAAACTTTAGATATTATTGATTTTGCTTATGAATGCAGCTATTGATTAAGATTATGAGTCACCCCAAGGCCTAAGTTTGAAGTGCTAATTGAACTTTCAGTTGGTGTTCCCTATGCCAAGAGTCAAGATTGAACCAGTGGTCTCAATGATCAATGAGATAGTGATGTCTCTATAGGTAGGAAACACTGTAGCTGAGGAATTATGACTCTATGCAACTATTCTCTAAGATCAAATGTTAGCTAGATAATGCAGGTGGCTTCTTAGCTATGTCCTGCAAGATAACACAGGTGGATTGTTAACTGTGACTTGGTCTTCACAAGTATATATAGTTACTCCCTTTTTTCAAGCCTTGTTGATTAAGTGCATTAGTTCTGCTATTCCCTGCATCTGTCTTCATGCCTTCTTACTATGATGTATAAACATAAATAATGACTAATCCAGAGCTCATGGGCTTAGCCATGACAGAGCTAAAGTCAGGTGGTTTTTGGCCAGGAGAAAGCTAAACATCAACTGCCAGTCTGCAACAAGTAATAAACTGTCTTTAATATTTATTCTTTGCTCTTTGTATATTATTCTTTCATCCCCTGCTGTCTCATCAGGCAATTGGGCATCCCCTGCTGACTGCTCAGGCTATTAACTTGGCAGGCTATCAGCTGTGACAGACATCCCCAAACTAAGGAGCTGATAGAAAGGAATAACAATTACCACCAAGAACCATAACACAACTGGATCAACCTTTGCCCTTAAGGATCCTCTTTGATATCATATCACAATGACCTTATGTCACCACTTCACAAGTCCTGGAAGCCCAATCCATATGTTTTGTGGAGTGCAGCTGTTACAAGAGTCCATATGGGTGTGAGCTGAATCCTACAGTGTTCCCCACCAGCTTTTTATGGTGATGGATCTTCAGGTCAAGGTTTTGTGGCAAATTGGGCACCACAGGTCTATAAGGCATTGTGCTTGGGTATCTCTCTCTGGTAGGATTCGCTCCCCATGTGTGAATGCTTTGCCTTTGTGGAGAATCTCTGCAGTTTCTTCCCTTCTGTAGTGGTTCCCTGCCTATACCTGAAGATGTCCTAGACTTGCTTTGAATGCCAGATGGAGCACCCATGCACCACAGCTCTCGGAATTTGTGCACTTGTAGAGTGAGAGTTCCATGGACTCCAAGGACATTCATGGTCTGTGCACTCCACAGGGTTAGCCACAAAGGCCCTCGTTTTCTTGGACACACCAGAGCTACACATTTGGTGACTGAGGAAGATGGCTCCAAAATGTATGAGCCTGACACTTGAGGAAACCCGGAGAAGTGAGGCTTGAGGTCTGGAAGACAAAGAATTTCCTATAATTTCTTTCTCCTATGACCTATTTTCACTTCTTTAAGTCGTTGTTGTAGCATGGTTGCTTGTGCTGCCGATAGGAGAATACTTCTCCTCTCAGCAGGATAATTTTCTGGAAATGTCCTTCCCTGAGTGTCTTCTGTCTGAAGCAGGGTCTGGATCCATTTCTCAGTGATTGACCTTCCCTTTCCCTTAGGCCACAGCCTTATGTGATCTTCTTGAATCCTCACCTTAAGATCCTGAGGGCTTCTAAAAGTAACATGTGAGCTGTGTGGCCCCCAGGAGCCTGGTGTGACCTCATCCTGGGCACCTCCTGTCCTCCAGTCATCCATCATCTCCCCCTCAGTGCTCCCACCACTGTGTGCCTGGGGCTCCTTCTGCACCAGGAAGAACGGCTCACCTGTAACTCTGGATCTCCCTGTCACTCCACTTTTATTTCTATCATGGTCTTCTGAACACAATGTGATGTTAATTTTTCACATATTTTTAGCTTTGAATATGTGAGTAATGAATTTCATTGGTTTTACTGGTTGGAACAAATGCCAGAAGCACCTTCAGTGGCCAAATTGGAACTCTTACTTGAGTCAGGGTACTCAGATCTGTAATTATAAATGGCATTTCCACAATTATGACTGAACTCTGAATAGCACAAACTAACAAAACAGAAGAAGACCCACAAAAACTTTCAGAGTTTTCAGGGATCTGCATGTACCTGGAGTTCAGAAGGTCCGACAGGAAGTATTTGGCTACATCTCAGGAGAGATCATATTCTGGAAGATGTGCATGTCCTGGGTTGCAAACAACAGGTGCACCTGGGCCAGCACACCAAGAACATGAACCTTCAGTTCTTAAACATCATAAGGGAACACATCAGTGATGATGCTGGTGCCAGTGAGGTGCAGGGCAGGGTGAGGAGGTGGAGGTGCATTTGGCTTCCCATGCTGAGTGTGACTGTGATGTCCTTGGTCACCCCTGTGGGAGGGTGGGCTGTGTGAGAGTGTAAGCTCAGTTCTGCCTTCAGGAACCATGTGCCTGTGAGGGTTGGGTATGGAAATTATTTTCTTCTGTTCACTATAAGACTACTTCACAGAAAACCATAGTCAGAAGAATGACATTATGAAGTGTAGGGGTATATTTGATCATTTTACAAAAATTTATAAATAGATGTGTGATGAAGATACAGAATTAACTGAGATAAAAGTGAGATAAAATATAGAAAATGTATAAACGCAGAATTATGAGAATCTTCTTAGAAAAAATGAATGTCATCAAACTTGATTGTTTTGCCTTATGTATTCTGCATTATTTTGCTGATACATAGATTGAAACCTAGTGATGAGAGAGGAGAGAGAAATAGAAACAGAAGAGGGAGAGAAGGAGGGAGAGAGAGATTGAGAGAGGAGAGAGAGGGAGAATGGTTACACTGCATTTTTTTAAAAAATGTACAATTTCTAAGGTCCAAAAGA